AGCCTAAAGGCAGAACTCTGGTTGTCTATGAATCAGAACAGGCTATTCTGAAAATTGATCCCTTGACTTTAGGGGGGCTTGTAAGCCCTGTTGATCCAAGTTCAGTTTGGACTTCTAAAACTGTTAGAGACATCACTCAAGGCGAGATGGGCAAAGAAGTGGCCCGTCGATACCTTAGGGAACTTGAATCTATGGGGAGTAGTGGGAAGGTTGGCTTCCTTAGCTTTCTTCAAAGCGAATTGCAGACAGACCCCACACCAAAGATTGCAACACAACCGACTGATGACCAGAATGTTGACACTGCCACTCACTATTCCGATAGAAGTGAACCAGTGGAGCCCAGTAGCGCTTTTAGCCCTAAAAAGGTCTGCATGGATGAGAGCCTTTACAACCCTCTTCATGTTCAGAAGGTAGTAGTTGAGCACATTGTACGTAATGAGCCAACTTACACATCACACACAAGAATACGCACCTTCTCAGGTCGAATTCCTAGGCCCAACGGTGAAGTGGATTATGAGACATGGCGCAGCCAAGTTGATCTCTTACTCAGTGACTCTTCTTTGACTGATGCACACAAGGTGAGGAGGATCCTTGAGAGCTTGCTCAGCCCTGCTTCTGAAATCGTAAAGCCCCTTGGTGTTGCTGCGCCACCAAACGCTTATGTAGATCAGCTTGAATCTGCTTTCGGTGTTGTCGAAGATGGAGAAGAACTCTTCACTTCCTTTCTTTGCTCGAACCAAAACAGCGGAGAAAAATCCTCTGCTTTCTTAAGTCGCCTCCACAGTCTTCTCACCAGAGTAATTTCTAGAGGAGGGGCAGCTGCTACGAATGCAGATGGGCTGCTCCTTAAACAATTTATTCGGGGTTGCTGGGACCAGAGTTTGATAATAGGTCTCCAACTTGAAGGGAAAAAGGGTTCTCCTCCCTCATTCCCCGACCTCCTTCTCATGCTGAGGACAGAAGAAGACCGACGATCAGCCAAGTTTGATCGTATGAAGAAACATTTGGGTGCAACAAAGGCTGCTGCACACGCCCACTCTGCATTTAGCATTCCGGTCTTTGACCAAGTACCGCTTGTAGGCCCCACTTCATCAGATGACAAAACTGTGAAACTTGACTTGAAAATCAATGAACTCATGAGCCAAGTCGAAAAGTTGAGCAAAAAAGAGAGAGACACCACCCTACTGACAAACTCCCCCGTATCTCCACAACCCATTGAACAACCCCCAAACGAAACCGCTAAACTTGAAAATCAAATTGCTGAGTTGACCAAACAAGTTCAAATACTTGTCCAGAACCAGAGGGTTACATGCAAATCCGAAACCCCAAATCTGAAGGAGCTCTCGGCTGTGAATATGAGACAAACACAAACCTCTGCTAGAATCCCTGGAATGCCGCGTGCATGGTTTTGTTTCAAGTGTGGGGAAGGAAATCACATAGCAGCCCACTGCACAAATGAGCCAAACCCCACTCTTGTCAAAGAAAGGAACGCCGAGTTGAAGAAGAAACAAACAGACTTTGCTGCAAAACAAACTACAGCTCCTTTTGCTTTAAACTAGTGACAGCTCCTGCGGTGGGACGTCCAAGAGCTGAAACCCTTGATTCCCTGAGTCCCAAATCCCTGGGCATGGAACGACAAACCACGTGCCAAACCCAACCTGTTGATATTCTCAACCCTCAATCGAAATTACCGCAGGGTCTTATAGGCCCACGCTGTGCAGCCTCTGTACTTGTTGAAGGTACACCATGCGAATCCATAATAGACTCCGGTTCACAAGTGACGACAATTTCTGAAACTTTTCACAAAGAGCACCTTTCCCATCTTCTCATCCAACCCATCCACACTATTCTTGAGATTGAAGGAGCTGGGGGACAAAATGTCCCATACTTAGGCTACGTTCAAACAAACATTTCATTCCCACAGCACTTAGCAGGAAAAGAGCAGCAATTAGTCGTACTCGCACTCGTGGTTCCTGAATGCCACTTCAACAGTAGGATCCCACTGCTGATTGGGACAAATGTGCTTTTGCGACTTCATGAGCAGTTAGTAGAGCAAAATGGGCCCAAGTTTATTCAGATATTGCCTTCTAAACAGTTTGCAATGATCCTCCAACATGTCGCCCAGGCACAGAGAAATGATACACATTCCTACCCTGTCATGCTGCATAGTAAGAAGCCAATCACCATCCTTGCAAACCAAAAATTGTGTCTCATGGGGAATGTGAGATTAGGACGGAAGAGCCAGAACACAAGAATCGTTATTGAACAGCATGACCAGTACAGATTACCAGGAGGGCTGCTAATTGAATCAGCTTTAGTGGACATCCCCTTTAGGGCCAGTACCAAAGTACCGGTCATAGTGCATAATGTGAGCGAACATAGTGTGACCTTGCGGCCCACTAGTGTCGTGGCTCAAGCTTGTGCAGCCCAACTGGTTTCCCCTTTGGAATCTGTGCAATCTCAGTTTTCCCCAAGTCAACCGGAACAGGAACCCAATGGATCCCCATTCAGTCTTGATGAGTCTCCTATCCCACATGAATGGAAAGAGCGCATCCAGAAAAAGCTACAATCGATTTCTGAAGTTTTTGCCCTTGATGAAGTGTCGTATGGCCACACCACTGCTGTAAAACATCAGATCCGGTTACATGATGAGACACCTTTCAAAGAAAGGCCAAGACCTATCCACCCGAGTGACAGAGAAGCAGTGAAACAGCATCTCAGACAGTTACTCGATGCTGGAATAATTCGTGAGTCTCAAAGCCCTTTCGCTTCACCCATTGTCTTGGTTAAGAAAAAGAATGGCTCAATTCGCCTATGCATAGACTACCGCAAGCTAAATCTGAGGACCATTAGAGATGCATACGCCCTACCGAATATTGAAGAGACATTCGCGGCTCTCAGTGGAGCAAAGTGGTTCTCTGTCATGGACCTTAAGTCCGGCTATTACCAAGTCGAAGTAGCCGAAGAGGACAAGCCCAAGACGGCTTTCGTGTGCCCCCTTGGCTTCTATGAGTTTAACAGGATGCCACAAGGCGTCACAAATGCCCCGGGCACTTTCCAACGCCTCATGGAGAAGTGCGTTGGTGACCTCCACCTCAATGAAGTGCTTGTTTTTCTGGATGATCTAATTGTGTTCTCAGACACATTAGAGGAGCACGAAAACAGATTGATGAAGGTGTTGTCACGTCTCAGAGACTATGGACTTAAGTTGTCTCCAGAAAAGTGCCAATTCTTTCGAGATTCAGTGAAATACTTAGGACATGTTGTGGATGCACGTGGAGTTCATACCGACCCTGACAAAATCTCAGCTTTGAAAACCTGGCCACGCCCATCTTCTTTCAAAGAATTGAAGTGTTTTCTAGGCTTCGCTGGATACTATCGCCGTTTTGTTGAAGGATACTCCAAGATAACTAAACCTCTTAACCGCCTCACTGCACACTATCACCCACCAAAGAAACGAGGGAAGATTTACAAACGAGAGCCATCCCAGTTGGCCCGTCATCCTATTCAGTCACTTGCTGATATTTGGACTCCAGAGTGTGAGGCGGCTTTCCATTCGATCATTGAGAAACTTACCACAGCACCAATTCTTGCTTTTGCAGACCCACAGCTTCCATACGTACTACACACTGACGCTTGTCGGGATGGTTTAGGAGCTGTGCTCTATCAGCAGCAGGGAGGAAAGCTTCGAGCAGTTGCATATGCTAGTCGGGGGCTTTCCAAAAGTGAACAAAATTATCCCACACATAAACTCGAATTCTTGGCCCTCAAGTGGGCCGTGTGTGATAAGTTTCATGATTACCTGTATGGTTCCTCTTTTGTTGTCCTAACTGATAATAATCCCCTAACATATGTCTTGACAAGTGCCAAACTGGATGCGGCTGGACACAGATGGTTGGCTGCCTTGTCTACGTATCATTTCACCATCAAGTACCGGGCAGGTCAAGCAAACAAAGACGCTGATGGCTTGTCTCGTCGGCCACAAGAGCCACCTCACGAAGATGAGGCTTTTTGCAAGGAGAGAGCTCGTATTAGTGACATGAAAGAACGCCTCATTGAAACGTCCAGCCAAGTGGACCATGAAACTTTCACTGCATTGTGTCAGCGCCATTCTGTTCCATTTCCATCAGGACCGGTTGTTGTTGTGGAGTCCCTAGCTATTGACCCTTCAGTAGTTCCTGAAGCCTATGGGGAAGACATCTTGCCCTCAATGACAGATGCCGATTGGCGTAGGGAACAAAGAGTCGACCCTTCTATTGCTCGCGTCATAACCTTGTTAGAAGGAGGCGTGAAACCTGGACCCAAGGAAACGAATCGTGAATCTACTGATGTTAAAGCCATGCTAAACCAATGGAACAAACTGGAGCTCAGTAATGGGGTGTTATATCGGAAGTGTAAAGACAAAGATTCACCTGTCTACCAGTTGGTGTTACCTCATCAGTATCGTGAAAGAGCCTTGCGAGGTGTACATGATGAGGTTGGCCACCTTGGCTTTGACCGTGCCCTACATCTTGCACGAGCGAGGTTTTACTGGCCAAAAATGGCAAGGTCCATTGAAGACAAATGCAAAAGATGTCCCCGATGTGTCATGAGGAAAGGCATTCCCCAGAGGGCTGCTCCACTGGAGAACATCCATGCAACTTATCCCCTTGAATTAGTGTGTATGGATTACTTGTCCATTGAGCCAGACAGCCGAGACACAAGAAACGTGTTAGTATTGACGGATCATTTTACGAAATTCGCTATAGCAGTACCTACGAGAGACCAGAGAGCTAAGACAGTAGCCAAAGCTCTTTGGGATAATTTGATCATTCCCTATGGTTTCCCTTGTCGCCTGCTCAGTGATCAAGGTAGAGACTTCGAATCTAAGTTAATCAAGGACCTTTGTGAGTTCGTCGGGGTAAAAAAAATTCGTACCACTCCATACCATCCCCGGGCAAACCCAGTAGAACGCTATAATCGGACCCTGCTCGACATGTTGGGCACACTAGAGGAGAAGAACAAATCCCATTGGCGAGACTTTGTGAAGCCTCTGACGCATGCCTACAATTGTACCAAAAATGACACAACAGGGTATTCCCCATATGAACTAATGTTCGGCAGGCAGCCTCGATTGCCCATTGATCTTGTCCTTGGTACTTACCCCGGTCGAGGTGGTCCCAAATCGTATTCAGATTATGTCCGAATTCTTCGTGACAACCTCCAGGAGAGCTACGCTCTTGCTTCCGAACACTCAAAGAAGATGGGTGAGAAGAACAAAACACGTTTTGATAGAAAGATAAGAGCTGCTGAGCTCTATGTTGGTGACAGAGTCCTGGTAAAGAATGTTAACATCAGAGGAAAGCACAAACTTGCAGATCGTTGGGAACGAACCATTCACACAGTTGTAAAACGCATCAAAGACAGTCCTGTTTATGTTGTTAAACCAGAAACCGGAGATGGGCCTCACCGCACTTTACACAGGGATTTACTTCTCCCTTGTGGGTTCTTACCTGTTGTGGATCAAAGTGAATCAGATCCTCGAGGAGGAGATTTGAGAAAGATTTGGACAAGGAGCAAAAGAAGCAAGATGAAAACCAATGACGGTGATAGTGAAGCATTGTACAGTGACATGGAAGAGTTGAGTGATGAAGAGGAAACTTATATTGGCTCGTGGGAGCCACAGATAATCACAAAGGGGCCCTATGTCCAAACCGAGGAGTTTCCCACAAAATCCCAAGCTCCTACACATATTCAACCCCTAGTGTCACCTTCTGATATTGCAGTGCCAGACAGATCGCCACTTGACTTTGAAAAATCTGATAAGGACTCACAACGTGAGATCCCTGGTTTGGGTGGTGGTGATTTATCATCCACAGATGCTAGATGTCCAGACCAGGTTGAAGTTGATATCCCTCGACCC